AGTATCACTTCACCACCAGGAAGTGTAAACATGAGCCTTTAATAGAGAAATGGAAGACCACAATAGTTCTTTTAGTTATATACTGAGAACTAAACTCAAGAGTGCTTGCCAGGCAGGTGCTTATGCCACTGACTATATCTCTGGCCATAGTATTAAGTGAAATTAATCTGACCACAAGCTTAAATACTGCATGGTTTCTTTTACACAAAAAATTCAAAATATAAACAGAGACCAAAATAAAACACGCTAGGAAAAAGGGAGATAGACCTTCTGATCTATCAAGGGGGAAGAGGACCAGAAGATGGGGAGGGGGGGAGGAAAGAAGATGTGTGATGTCCATCTACTAGCTCTCCATGAGGAACATAATCATTTCATACCGCAAACATAGACTCATAAAAATTTAAAACTAAAAAATCTTGGAACACTCATACACTGTTCGAGGGGATATATGAGAGCATAAACACATACAGTGAATGTTTACCTTAAGAATTTTATTACAGGAAAAAAGTTATCACACTAAAAGAAATATTGCCATTAATCTTTATTAAAAATCTCCTCCTGCTTAGGACACCTTTTTCCATCACTCTTGGGGAATATTTGACACTGTTTGACACAATTCTGGAAGCCCTTTTCCCTGACTGTCTTTGTGCAGTGAATGATGCCAGCAAAAGGCAGCCTCATAAGAACATGAGGGAATATCCTCAGGCACCAGACACCATATCTACCTCATCGGGGAACATGTGGCTCTTCCTCAAACTCCAGATGACCATGAAAGGTCAATATTTCAATCAACTCAAGACATGGAGGCCACCATGACAGAGCAACTAAGGACACTCAAGTACAAGGACTTCCAGGATGGGACAAATCTTTTCCATATGAGGAAGAACATTTTGAACAGGATTCATGGCACCATGACTCTTACTGTAATAAATTTTAAAAAATAATTTACCCTTTCACCATGTTTTTAATCAAATCTCATAAATGGATCAACCACTGTGGAAAACCACTATGTTTATGGGCAACAATAATCATAATGGTCAAAAGGTAGGCACAAACCAACTCTTCACCAAGGGGTGAAGGGATAAATACAAGGCATTATACCTGTAGAACAGAATGTCACTCAATCATGGAAAAAGAATTAAGTTCTGATGTATCCTACAACATGAGTGAACCTGGGAGTACCATGTGGAGAGATATAAGGCAAACCCTAAAGAACAAATACAATTTCACTAATTGGAAATGCCTAGAATAAGAAAACTCACAGAGGGAAATTCGGTTAGAAATGACTGTGGGTTGCTGGGAATCTAAGGGAGAGTATCTCTGTAACGGTCACAGGGTTTCTGTTTGGGAATAATGAAAAGTTTTGGAAATAGATTGCTCATTGGTTCCAACTATTCTAAATATAATTAATGACACTTAAAATGTTTAAAATGGCAAATTTTGGCGGGCCAGGGATTTAGCTCAGTGGCATAAACACCTGTCTGGCAAATGTGAAGTCATGAGTTCAATACCCAGTACAAAAACATGACAAATTTTATTATATATCACACCAAAAAATAAGTGACTGATAAAGATAGATATTGATTTATAGAGAGAGAAATCTATTAATGCATATTTGTATGTACATCATACCACAACAGAAAAACCACATAACCTCACAGTTCAAGATTCAACTACCTTGGTCACATTATGAAAGATAGGTGATTATATTCTGGGCTTTGGGTGAAAAATTAATCCATTCTCTTAATTTTTAAAAGAAGAAAGAAGTTACTCCACCTATCTTGCTGCATAATTATCCCAGAGTAGCGTGATTGCAGTTCCAGAGAGTGCAATGTGCATTTCAAATAACCATAGCAGAGGGTTTTTGTACCCTAACAACAGAAGAAAATGATAACTGTGTAAGAGAGGAAGAATGGTAATTAGCCTGATTTGTACAATGATCATTATACAGTACATACATGTATAGAAACATTACATTATATGCCATTATGCACTGATAATTGTGTGTGTGTGTGTGTGTGTGTGTGTGTGTGTGTGTGTGTGTGTGTTTGAGACAGGGTTCCACTTTGCAGTATAGGCTGGACTTGAATTCACTTTGTTGCCCAGCTGGTATTGAACTCTCAACTCTCCTCAAATCTCAGCCTCCCAAGTGCTGGCATTACAGACTTGCAATGCCTGGTTCCGTTAATTTTTTTTTTTTTTAAGTAGGAGAAAAAAAATGCATCCCCAGACCAGCTTTGTAGTGTAAGAGAAATGGGCATTTCATTTAGAAAACCAAGAAAAGAAAGAAAACAAAAATGGTACTAGGGAGATCATCAGAGCTTTAAGAAAAAGCCAAACATGAGCAAGCGTGCATGCGGTCCTGGGAGCGCCTAAACCGAGCCTGGAGTGAGCTTTGCATTGTGTTGCCTAACTGGACTGCTGGGCAGCTGCTCTGAGGCTGAGTGAGGGGCTCTTTCTTTATGCTCCTGTGCCCCATGCTCTCAGCCAAAATGCAGACTTTGTCCTCTGTTGTCTGTAGCCAGGAGCAGGCTGAGAAGGTCAGTGGAGGATCAGGAGCCTCAGGAGACATCTGCTTGGGTGGCACTGTCTCCCCTGGGACTTTGAAAAGTTTGCCTGGATCGTGATTTGTGCAGAGTGCAAGTCCAGATCCTGCTTCACAGTGCAGAGCTCCGCGGCTGATTAAGGAGCTTCTCAAGTGTGAGGCCATCCTCCGTCCTTGGTACCTTGCTCTGTCCTAGGAAAAAGTAAGTATTTCACAGACATACACTCATGGCCAGTTAGAACTATGGGGAGCAATGCAGCATTCTACTGTTTTTGTTTTACAAATAAGAAAGTTCAGGAAGGTTATGCCACAGGCACGTACTTATGAGTCATCTCTCGGCATTCATTACTTCTTCCAGTCTACATGCAGTCTTCAGCGTCTGACTTCTGCCCTCATTACCCCCAGATGCCAGATAAAAGCATGGGGTGATGGCTTTGCTCTAAAGGGAAACCACACTCCTGTCTTGTATGCAAAATGTGCTGTAAGAATGGAAGTGTACAGATGATAACTCCCTTTTTAATTTTGGGGGCTGTGGCATTCTCAATGTATGCCTTGGCCTTTGCAACCCCTACGCTAATCTCTTTAGGAGCATCAAAGTCAGGATGTTCAGCATCATTGACTGAATGTTCTGCCGTCTCCAACAAGACATGAGACCGGCTATGGAAATTAATACCTCTGATTGCTTGATTTTAAAATGCTAGAATCCTTTATGGTTCTAAAAGAGTGTTCATATTCATTATTCCTCTGGAGGAATGATTTTCACCTTGGCTGCCATGGAAGACAAGGGCTGACTCATCTCCTTCCTTGAGTATGAAGGATCATGAGTCCAGGGGACATGTATGTGATTCTAGATCCCAGAGTCAGTGGCCTCACATACTAGGAAGGGGTCCCTCATTCTGTAACAATAGCCACACAGCTGAGCCACCCCTGGGGGTGACCCCAAGCAGATGCTAGACAGTGTGGGGGTTTTGTGGTCTGGCTGAGGCCATGGACTCTCTGGTGGAGAGCTGCAGTAATTCTCCTATTTTCCTGAATTCCCCCTCCCCACAAATAAGAGATGGGTGGTGAAAGGAAATGGAAAGCACCAGCCTGTGCAAGAAGTAAAGATTGTGACATAAAAAGAAAATAACTAAAGTTCTGCCTCAACTTTCCAAAACTCTGTTCCTTAGTTTTCAAGCTGCTGAAAGACGCCATGACATCACTAAGAAACGTCTCATAGATGATGCGGTTTCCATAGCAACCTATGTTTAAAGGAAGGCATCCAATTAAGAGCCCTCATAAAAGTCCCAGAGCAGTGCTCTGAATCACTACACATCTTCACCTATTAAGAACGAGTCGCTGACGCATTTTTCAGAGGTGGGAACTGCATTTGACAATACTTGGTCATCACCTTGCGGCTCCTGCGCTGCATTTGTGCTAATTCAGCTTTCATGCCTGTTTCAGACACGGAAGCCTCTGAGCTACTACAAGGGCTGAAAGGAGTCCTCTATGGGTTAGTTAATAAAGAATGTCACACTCCAGGTGAGCTGAGCCCCAGAGTCAAGCACAGAGTATCTGTGGCAACCACAGTCAGCAAAGAGCTCTGACTGACAGGCCGTGCCACTTCCAGAGGAAAATGTCCACTGAGCCCACCCAGAGCCAGCACTCACACCAGCCTCTTCCTGACTCCTGTACTAGACCAGAAGCTGACATAATACAAGGAGTGATCAAAATACACAGTGTGTGTTTAACTTGCTTTTAAATTACAGAAGTGTGAAGAGGTAAAGGACAGCGCAGAGCATAAATAAAGGGACTTGCAGCTCTAGGGCATCTGTTAAACCTACAAGAATAAACTCAGTCACCTCTGAACTATTCTCCATCAGTGCCATTTTATTCTCCTCAAAATACTCCCCCTCGTTTTAAAAACACTTCTCCCATCATTCCTGCCACTTTCTGAAGCATTCTGGAAGTCCTCTTTCTTGAGTCGCTTTATGGGGTGTATCAAAACTATAGTGAGTGCTCCTGGAAAGTGCCATCTGGCAGAGAGGCAGGCTTGGAAAACTATTATGATGTCTAATCCATCTTCTTCCCTAGATCTGGAACCAGGGAAGTTCTGGCTGTTCCCCAAGGCTAACATGATTATAAAAAGGTAAATGTTTTGAATTAACTCAGGACATTGTGACAGCCACATCAGTGCAACTAAAGATCTTCATGAAAAAGGATTCCAGAGCTGCTGCAGAAGAGGGTAAGCATGACGGCGTGAGTGTGATTGAAGGCAGGTGGAGTATTTGGTATGGGAGAGACAGGTAATGATACTGTGTCTTCTAATGCAATAAATTTCTTAAACATCACCATATTTGTAGATTACATCTCACATGACCAAGAATTCTGATTTACCCTTCAGATCTCATCATAGTGTACAGTGACAATAACTTTTTCTCTTATTGTTATAGGTGCCTTTCATAATAATTCCTGAATGGCACTGATGGAGAATATTTCAGAGGTGACTGAGTTTATTCTTGTAGGCTTAACAGATGCCCTAGAGCTGCAGGTCCCTTTATTTATGTTCTGCTCTGTCCTTTACCTCTTCACTCTGGTTGGTAACCTTGGGATGATCGCATTGATTGTGCTGGACTCCCGACTCCACACGCCCATGTACTTTCTCCTCTGCAACCTCTCCCTCGTAGACTGTGTTTATGCCTCGGCTGTCTCACCCAAGGTAATGGTGGGGCTTCTCACAAGAGATAAGATCATCTCCTACAATGCATGCGCTTCCCAGATGTTCTTCTTTGCAGCTTTTGCCACTGCTGAAAGTTTCCTGCTGGCCTCCATGGCCTATGACCGCTATGCAGCAGTGTGCAAACCCCTGCACTACACGTCCACCATGACAACTGCGGTGTGTGTCCTACTCATCTGTGGCTCCTACACCAGTGGACTCCTGCAGTCTTCCCTCCATGTGGCCTTCACTTTCCACCTCTCCTTCTGCCATTCCAATGTGATTAATCACTTTTTCTGTGACATCCCCCCACTGCTGGCTCTTTCTTGCTCTGATATCTATGCCAATGAGATTGTGCTCTTCATGCTGGCAGCCTTCGATGTTTTTTTCACTCTCTTGGTTATTCTGAACTCCTACCTATTTATTTTTGTTACTATCCTGAGAATGAGCTCAACTGAGGGACGGAAGAAGGCCTTTTCCACTTGTGCCTCCCACCTCACCACAGTCTCCATCTTCTATGGCACTGCCATCTTCACATACCTGCAGCCCAGCTCCAGGCACTCCATGGATATTGGAAAAATTTCCTCTGTGTTCTACACCATGGTCATCCCCATGCTGAATCCATTGGTCTACAGCCTGAGGAACAAGGAGGTCAAGAGTGCGTTCAGGAAAGTTGCTAGTAAAGCCTTTATCAGGCTTAGTCTAATAATTATAAATTATTTGCAAACCAAGTGAAATTTTTATTGGGTCTTTATTATCCAGGAATATTTTTAATTACAAATATGTATTGTCTTTAATTTATCTGAGCAGTTTTTTCACACACAAGAAAGCTCTTTGTGCTTTGGGAATATGAGTAGAGGACAATGTGGATGTGCTTTACAGCCATGTAATGTGACTTCTATGTTAAGGTTAATATTATGATCCTAGTACTAAAGGATCTCACATTGCCCCATACTAATAGTGTGATGTTCTCTGCAGAGAAACCTCACATGTTTACGTATAAGAGTAACATTTTTAGTTCTGTAATTCAAAATAACTCCATGAGTCTTACACAAAGCATGGAGCTGTAGTTCTCACACATCAGTACTTCTGAGAATTATCCTAAGACACTGTCAAAGTGTAGAGTTCTAGCATCTCATCCAAGATAATTACATTCCATATACTTGTCGAGCAATCCGAAGATCCATAGCTTGATCCTGCATTATAGATGTCTATTAACTACATCATCAGCTTAAATATAGCTAGAGCCCCCAGGTGATTGCTTGAATAATGAGGGATACTCTATAGTCTAAATCTTTTTGGTCCTTGAAATTCTGAAATCAAAGACAGAGTTCAGAGAACAAGAACTCATCCAAAAATACAGTCACATCTTTTTCTTATGTGAGTTCGTTCTAGCAGTTTAGCTATGTTTAACAAATGTGTTGGGAAACCACGTCTGTCAAATACACATCCATAATTGTTTAATTAAAATGTCTAATTAACTCATAAAACTGAAATTTTCTGTCTGCGTTTTGTATTGAAATGGAGAAAAATGACCTCAAATATTCCTCCAGATTACTAACTATAGATGATTTTTAACAAAACACTGAACTCTGTCAATAATGAGGGGAAAAACAGAATACCAATGAATAAAATAGTATTATTGATTACTCAAAGGCCTTCAAGCAGACACATTCAAACCCAGAAAAAAAAAGTTTTCTGCAAGTTAAAAAAATCTCTGGAACTGGAATCTAATGGGTATTATATAATTCTAAGGATCTCTACCAGAATTGTTTCTTAGAGAAGTCATCAACTACTTCATCAACGAGATGAATTCATCATTAACTAATTTAAGAAGAAATTGTCTTAGTAACTATATGAGTTAAAAGAGTGAGATGGAGTGGAACTATGATGGAATACATCAGTCAACAACAACAAACTGGATCTCTAATGGTCATCACAGGATGCAAGGGCTGCTCTTCCCATGTGCCCAGAGAAAGGACATCACCCACACAATATTCTCTCTTCTTTATTCTGTTATAAACCATATACTTTTTCACTCATTAAGCTCAAAGCTTACACCTAGGGTACAGCCTACCTGGTACCCTGCAGGCTCTGAACAATCATGAAATTTGAAAATAGAAAGAATAGGTTTATATCAAACCAATCAAGACAATAAAGGTCACGCTGCTGAATTCTTGTGGAACAACATAACAATTTCTGCTGGTGGGAACAGAGTAGAATAAAATGTCCCACTCTTCTGCCTCCATTGAGGTCAGAAAGGCAAACACAGAGTGTGGGAACTGGCATCAGTCTAACCGTGCTGGACACTGACAAGGACACTGACAACTCTTCTTCCCTGAAGAGGTCTCACAAAAGGGAGATCTGTCACTCTCTCTGAAGCGAGACCAAAAGAACAAAACTGCTTTTTCTCTGAAAAATTCTCATCAGAAGGATGAAAATCTACAAAACTGATAGCTACTTTGCAACCATAAGAAAACTGTTTCATGAAGTACACTATGAATAAACATCTTTAACTGTACTAATGCAATAATTAAGATAAAAGTGGCTACTATAGCACAATAATGGTTCAAACTGTGTAAATTAAACTCATTTACACTCTTTGCAAAATGTGCATAATAATGGCATTTACCTCAATGGTCAGTATGACATTTAATAAAATAGTGCATTTAGATATTTAGGACAATGTTTGTCCTACAATAAAGAAATAAATGTTAAATATTTTTATTATTATATCCTTAGGAAAAGTAATAGAGAACTGAGCCACGTCAGACCTCTGTGCCTCTCTCACTGCAGAGCTGCCTCCCCTTTTTCTTCTTTATTTCTGCATTTTAGAGAAATATTCAACATGGATCTCTAGACAGGTTCACAATGATCCACTGGAGAACAGCTTTTGGGGTCAAGGACCTTAGGGAAATTTCCTAAGGACAGATTCCTGGGACTTCATTCCACCCAATTATTTAAGACACGCTTAGCATTGTGACCACAGCCCCAGGAATAGCTCATCCTTCCCCACCTGGGATGTCAAATAGATGCAGTGACACTGGAAGACTTCAGTGCTCCACTCAATCAGCAGTATGGCAATGCCAGTGGGGGAAAAAACTCAAATGAGATGTGTGCTATTTTGTGAAATCACCTTTGTACAGGCAAGCATTATTGAACTTTGTGATTAAGTTTGATTGTGCTCATCAAGGGGCTAAAATGTTTCAAATTGATTCATGATAATCTGCCACGTGATGCTTCAACAAATCAAATCCATTAATAAATTTTCCATTAATCATCTGAAAAGAAACACAAAGGTCTTCTTCCACTACTTTAAACACGTAGAAATGATGTAACATGTATTTTAAAAATATGTACCTGAATTCAAACATATATTTGCAGATATCTGCAGTCCAGAAAAACACAAGACACCACAATGGTGAGTGAGGGCTGAGGCAGTATTCTGCTCAGCATTTGATAGCAACAACCCTGGGGATGCAGTGAACGAACATGTGGAGAGAGTGTCAGAGATGCCTTTCCCATGCCAGAGGTTAAATTAAATCCTGAATCCCCATTTTGTTTGTGTTTATAAACAGTCCTCGTTTCTGCAATAAAGTGGAGCAACTGAGTCATTCACTTGACAAAGCAGAACCAAATATCTCTGCCAAAACTCTAGCTCAGTAATGTTAAATTCTGGGTTTACAGGAATTTAAACTGCAAAACCAATTGACAAAGGGGACTTATTCAATAAAGATGAAACAAAATACACCAACATGCAACGAGTTCTCAAACAGGAGTAGGTCAAATATAAGAATCTTATTCATGAAACACAGCCAAGAAAAGCAATAAATAGGATAAACCAGACCTAAGAGGAAATAAATATTGTTTATAAAGAGAATATAAATATAAAGGAATATAAATTCCTATTAATCAACATAGGAAACAAGGAAAACAAAGAGGAACCCTGGAAATGAAGTGTACATTATCAAGCACATTTAACTGTTCAATGGATAAAATAAATAGAATTGTAAATAACACTGAGTGCAGAATTAAAGATGTTAGAACTTTTAGAATTTAAACATTGCTTAATACAGAAAGAGACAGAATGCATGAAAGACAACTTAAGAGAGGCAAAATAGATTGAAAGACTCCAAAAAGACTAACCAGAAGTTTCAGAAAGAAATAACAGAGAACAAGAAGAAAAGGTCAAATCTGAAACTAAGTAGGTAATTGAAGAAACAAGCAAGTCTTCTTCTTGAAGAACCATACAAATTTCTAAGAAGGATACATTTTTTAAAAGTTACTATATATTGTTTAGAATATATGGGGGCTGGGGGTTTATCTTAGTGGCATAAGCACCTGCCTTGCAAGCAGGCGATCCTGAGTTTGATCCCTGGTACCAATAAAAAAAATGAAAAAGTTACTATATATTGTTTATAATCTAGACAAATCAAAGAGAAGGAAAAACCTCTTGGAAGCCTGAGACGAAAACAAAGTAATAATGATCAGAATCTCAGCAGAATTCTCATCAAAAACCACAAAGGTCAACAGAGAAGGAGTTGATATTCTTCAAAGGGCAGAGGGAATTAAACACTAAGCCCGGTTTCTACACCCAGATAAACAATTGTTCCAATGTGATGACAAAATGAGAACAGCTTCACAATGAAGAGCCTGGAAGGTAATACACCACTGCTCACAGGTGGTGAATCTCAGGTAAGGTATTTCTATAGCAAAAGTGAAGGGGATAACTGGTGAATTAGAAAGAAAAAAGAGAGTCTTCCGGGTTCTTAAGATTCCCTTTCTTTTGCCTTCCCCATTTGCAGCAAGGAACAGTTTTATTACGATGTTTTCATTTGGTAGAGACAGTGGGGGGATTTACTTTGCAAAGGACAGACCTATAATCTAGGAGTGTGTATGAGATGGAATTCCCTCGTAAAGAAACCCAGAATTAAGCATTTGAGCTTCAAGTAGTTTATTTTACAGATAATGAGAGAATTAAATGGTATTGAGTGGGACAGCAAACCAGGGAAAAGAATACATATTGTATTCCATAATAGATAGTATCTGAGGGGAATATGATCACGTCTTGCTGAGGTCTCCGGAAGCCTGAAACAAGCTTCAGAGTAATACTGCTTGTGGGGTGAGGGACCTGGTGTTTATGTATTGACTTCCCTTTGTCCTTTACTGATGGAGGCACTAAGGAGTGTCCCTGCTCATCTGGTCTGGTCCATCCACACACAGCACATTTTACAGAAAAAATAAGCCCTCAGGTTGTGTGCGTCAACACCTTAATCAGTCAGCACTAGATGCATAGGAAAGGTGAATGCTGAGACTCCAAACCAATGGAAATCTACAAGTTACCTGGAAGAGAATTCAAACCAATCATTGTAAAATAGCTCAATGAGACCCAAGAAAAGACAGATTACCCTGGGGGAATAGGAAGAGCATGGCTAATGGTAGTCAGGGAATTTATTTTTATACGATGAAAGTATTCTAAAATCGATAGTGGTGATAGCTGCACCACTCTGTGAACAATAAGAAGCAATGGGTGGTACACCTTAAATGGGTACATTGTTTGGTACATAAATTAATTAAATAAATTGCATTACATGAAAATTTTTAAAAATAAAAAATTGAACATATAAAACAACATTGCTTAGAGAAACAACTGCAGGAATAATACACAAAATAGCCTCAGATTAAGATGTTTAAAGAAATATAGAGAAGAATAATTAGAAAAGAAATTATTAAGTGGAAATGAGCTATAAAGTTGTAAAAATAAAACAACATAGTCTTAAGATTCTTTAAAACTAGCAGATATATGAGAAAAAATAATTTCTCAATAATAATTTTCGTTTTTTTCAGAATTTGCAATGTAAAATGAAAAATGATTAATATGCAACTAGTGATGCAAATAATGTGACTAACACTAAAATAAAGCTGGTTTCAAATATGTGTAAAATCTTGAGTACAACAAATAGAAATTCTATCTTCTGCCAGCATTGCATGGGACATTTGAAAAAATAAAATTCATCCTAGGCCACAAATGAAGAGGCAAGAAATTTTAAAGAATTATATATCCCAAACCTGGTTCTTTGAGTATAATACAACAAACTTATAACCCAACCATGAAAATACAACGTTTGGAAAACTGGTTCAATGTGTTAGACTAGGCTGAATATTTATTTCCAGTTTCCCTGGAAATGCTACGCAAGACAATGAAGGAGAGAAAATTGACATAACCCCACAGGAGTAAAGAGAACAGGAACGAATACCAGAGAAGTGACACCAACCAATCTTGAAAAATTGTACAAAAATATGATCCGGAACAAGCTTAGTACAAGAAAGATTATTTCCATCAGCCTACAGGAAAAGGCAGCAAGTTGTAACATTTATTGCATAATACTAGATGATCACAGTAATTGGAGATGTCAAGTATTTGAAGTGAGAAAAAAGTCAAATTTATTGAACATCTACATTGTTATTTTGAAGTTAGTGTATTTGTTCAGGACTAAAGTAAATAATTACACACCAATGTCATTAGCATTAATCAGATCAATGAGATTAAGTAAAACCTTTATAAAAATGATAGTTATGAAATGGAATGTGAGACTAAAAAGTTCCTATCATCCAGTTTTTAAAAAGAATAACATTGTTTTCTGTTCATACTCTGTGCAAGCTCCTTTTATTCAAAAGTATCTATGTACGTAATTTATATCCACATTCAAACAAACTAAACTGAAGGAGAAATGATGTTCTAGTTCTTGAAAAATAAGTTTTTATTAAAGCATAAGAAACAACATGTTCATAGAATGATATTTTTAACTTTGCCAAATTTTTAGATTAGTAGCCAACATGTGGATATCATTTAACCATGATTTCACAAATGGAGTTGCATCCCAATCTGCTAAATCTTTCCCCACTAAATTTATTATTTTTTCAAATATGTGCCAAACGCAAGCTTGAGGTGTATTAGAGTCAACAAACACAACAACCTTTTAGGGCTGCACTTGACCGCAGCCGCGGGAGACAGGAGGCCAGACTCGAGCAGGATCAGCTCTCAAACTTTATTGCGTACAGCGAACCGGACCTAACAAGGTCCGCCACCCTCAACATTGGTTCCTCTTCTGCCCGTTGGGGGCAGGAACAACCTCTTATAAGGGGAAGCAGTATCCAATCACAGAGAAGCGCGCCTAACAAGCTGATAGGCTAGCGTCACGGGTAACTGGGCAGACATGACAATTTGGCAGGCTTGTTCAGGCCGGGAAGAACCCGGAAGCAGGAAATGGGCGCCATCATAGGCGGCTTCCCACATCTCCCCCTTTTTTATTTATTAAAATAGGATGGTCTGTGGGTCCCTCCAAGGTGTCTATGACCTTGTTGCTGTTAGACACCGAGGAGTGGGCCTACCTTGTAGGCCGAGGCATGAGAGAATGTAGAGGTCTATACCCTGCTGTGCATCACCCTGTTTTGTGCATATCCTTGCGCCAGGACCATGCTCAAGGTGAGTGGTTCATTTTTTCGCAGGGCCAGGCTTTTGTGAACCGAACCTGGATGCATATAGACATTCATTCCTGCCTTCCCCCCAACCTTTGAGGCGGATGGCACTGCAGTACCCTTGGTCTCGCATCTCAATGCCAATAATTTGACTCCGGGAGGGACCCCTGGCCTTATAGGCCATGTATATCTGAGTGGAGCCTGTCTTAGGTTGACCGGGAGGGCTTTTCCCGTCTTACCCGTCATTGGCTTGCCCACTCAGCTCTTACAGCTGATGTTCTGCAATGTGAAGGAGATATGCGGCGGCCTGCTGGCCTGATGGGCTACCTGCTGCCATTTGCATGGCTGCCATAGCTGTGATCTTAACCTGCTGCTGAGTTTGTATGAGGCGATCTAACAAGCATTTAATAACCACAAGCCCCACTAGGATGGCCACGGCAATCAGGATCCAAGTAGTCAGGTTGGGCCAGGAGAACCAGGAGGTGACGCGTTCCCACAAACTGGCTATAACACTGCCTAAAGTTGATAAATCAAACCTGACTGGACCTAGTTGGATACCGTCCATATTGTCAAGTTCCTGACCGACTATGAGGGACAAATTGTGAAACTTAGGTAGGTAGGTGTCTTGCAGCCAAGCTGTCATATTTTTAACAGTGTTGGTCAAATTTGTGCGAACAGGGGTGATTAATAGGAACCCACAGAATAGAAAAAGCTCCAAACCAGACATTTTAGTTTGTAGATGGTCTCGGGCGCTGAGCGTCGGTCCCAGAAGGGTCGAGTTGACTTGTGTCCACGGGCTTATCCTCCTGTGCTTTATCAGGAACTGGTGGGGAGTTTACTGCTCGCGTCAATCTTTCCGGGACCCACAGCGGTTCGCAGCCTGGTTCCTGTGGGAAGACACAAACCACACCTCGGGTCCAGCTAATCACTGGATCTGGGCCCATCCATTGTCCTGTAAGGACATCTTTCCATCTCACCAGCCCTTTGTCGGCCGGGGACGGGTTATTGTGCTCCATGGCAGGGGAATGATTATTGTGATTAAGGTTTAAAAAATTTATGGTAAAGAGTGCCAATGATATTCTTCCTTTGGGTGTTAGGCCATGGCCTATTCCCTCCTTTTGTTTTTGTAAGACACCCTTGAGTGTCCGATGGGATCGCTCAATGATGCCTTGTCCTTGGGGGTTGTA